GATCAGAAACTGTTAAAGAAAACTACCAAAATAAGGTCAGTTAAATGAACCGTATTCCTCCGAACTTTAATTCCTAAAGGTTTTAATTCACTTTTTTTGACGGTGTACTGTTTTTTTTATGTTGGGGGTGTGGCTTATAGTCCGAAAAATACGGTACTTTCTATTACTGAGGAAAACCTGATTTCTGTTTTCACAGGTGGGTCATGTACATAAGTTATGGTTAGAAAACTTTGTTAGTAGTTTTCTTTGTATGTTTTAGACATTTATGTATATCTACTAGACGTGACAGTTAACTGCCACTAGCTTATTGCTAGCAAGTCAGTTTTATTTTCCCCTTCATTTTAAGTTAGCGGGCAGTTATTCTCACACTAGTCCATTGTTTGTACAATTATTTAGATGTTTGTAGTAATGYAATGTATGTTAAGTTTGTGATTGTTCATTTGTGTTAATATTCACTTGTTATTTTGTATATAATATGTAACAGACTGTGTAAACATGTACAATTATCAAGCTCTTAGTCTGAATTGTAGAGCAAGCTAAACTGCTGTCAGGTGAAAGTCCTCAGCTGTGTGATCAGTRTCTCAGCACAGCACAGCTACTACTTTCYATTACTAAGGAAAACCTGATTTCTGTTTTCACAGAATAAAAAAACAGTTACACTCAATCAGTGCATCTGTTGTCACGTGTGTAACACATGCTTAAATAAATTTTTAATAAGTTTGCTCAAATATTAGCACATTTTTAACAACATTATAGACTATTAATTTAAAATGTATTTATTAAGCTCTTTATAAACACTATTTTATGCTAACTTTGTGGGAATACACTGTTACACTATTACACTTTGTATAGATTTATCCCATTTATTCCTGGTCGCTTGCACAAGCTCCATAGGAAATGAATGGAGAGAGCAACGTCGCCTCCCGTGTGTTGAGACCTTTAGGTTGTAAAAATTAATAGAAGTCAATGCAATGTCCCCATAAAGATAGCTGTACTAGACTGTGCGTGTCTTATGCATACCTGTTCCTCATGCAGCACCACCTGTCCATCAAGAGGACTCCCAAGTGGAGCAATGGTGACAAATGGCTGATAGACACCACTCATGGTCCTGGGGAAGACGTCGTAAAGCTCCATACACTGAACCGTCTCCCCGYGCTCCTTCATGGAGTACAGGGACACCGGGTTACACGTGGCCACATACAGCATGTCTGCCAAAACAAAGCAGCACTTCTGTAAATTCTGCTTTCTTTTCAACYATTTATACATAAAAGTCAGGCAAAAATATGGTTTATTTTTTATGCAGTAACTGGTTCAAAAGGAGGCCTGACCAAGTATTGATTGCATGAAACTTACATTGTTTTCAGATGCCTGACATTTGTGTTTAGAGTTTACTTTTTTCATTCATCCTATGTAACGTTCAAGTTTGAGACAGTTAATTTAGGTTTTTCATCTTCATATTTGTATCCAGTCCAACTGTATTTGTAAAACACTTTTTGCACCACAGCAGACCAAAGTGCTGCACAGAATCAACTTTCCAACACAGCTCAAACAAAAACAAATTCAATCAAAAATACAGAAAAAATTAAAAGCAGGAAATAAAAAACCAAGAAGTAAAAACAGGAAAAAAACCACTAAAATGCCTAAAACTTAATTAAAAATCTACAATAAAATCAAGAAAATCTCTACAAAAAATAAAATCTATCCTTAATGGACAACACAACCCCTTACAC